GTGGAAGACAGGCCCATCAAGAACGCAGGCGCGGAACGCGGGGGCACGCCCCGGCACGGCACACGTCTCGCATTCTTGCTGTCAGAACCGCTTGTCTTTCAAGCTCCCTACTCCGAGGCAGGAATTTATACATGACCACCGACTGGAGGTCCAATGTTCGGCGACCTCGGCAGGCTGTGGATATGGATAGATTCGGGCCCCCGGGGGCCAAGACATGGCCATATCCACCATCCGTTTTTAGCGCCAGGACGTCGGTTCCCAGGCGGTGGACATGGATACATGCCCGCCTCGCAGTCTTGATGTCAGAATCGCTTGTCTCTCAACTCAAGCTTTCTACAGCATTCGCTGCTCCGGGAGAGACCGTGCCAAAGTGCCGAGGGGTCGCCGAGAGGGCCCCAGAAGGCCCCAAGGGGGCGCTCCGACGGCGCAAGAGAAGCCGAAGTGTCCAGCCCTGGGCGGGATGGGGAGGGGCGATGACGATGACAACGACGTCTTCCCCCACCTCCGCGTCCCTCCCCCTTCAGGGGGACATGCCCAACCTCACACTACTTGGCCAGCACCCAGGTCGAGGATCAGGAGAAACCGTCCAGTCTGTATTCTGTGCGGGTACTTCGCGCAGCACAGAACGCCTTCTAGACGGCCAGGCGTTGCGATCGCCCCTTCAGCGACGAGGATCGGAGCAGCGCCAGCGCGGCTGCGCTTCGGCCGCCTGTGGAAAACAGGCGGGTAGCAACTTGATCATCACGTGATCGTTTTCTTGTTCACTGTTTTGCCGATTGGCGCGGGCCCTCGCACCCTCCCCCCCCCTTGGAATCGATCTTGGCTGTTTTTGGCGCCTGTTCCAGGGCCTGTGGGGTCCTCCCCATAGGACGCACTGGTGCAAACAGTCGCGCTAAGCAGAGGTCCGGATCTAGACCCCCCCCTCCCCCCCCCTTCGCCCAATGTTGAAACGCCGAATAAGAAACTTAGGGACGCAGCTTGGGGAGAGACTCTGGCCGCTCGCCCGAGCCAGCCGAGTTTAGGATCCGGCCCCAGGATCCACCCCGGAAGGGCTCCTTTGAACGGAGTTGCCTTACGGGGGGGCCTCCTGACGTTCGGAGGTCAGGGTGAAATCAAGTCCCGACGCTGCTGTGGGTAATTCATCGTTTCGCTGGGCCGGCGGGCGCCCGCGCCCGTGTTCTCTGGCTGGCTACCAGAGAGAGAACCCCGTGCAGCCGCGGCGGTTCCGGGCTAATTTCGTGAGCCGCCGCCTTTCTCGGCCTCCGGCCTGAGGCTGCATGGGCCGATTGCGTGTGAATTCATGCGGGCATTCTGGGCACCATCCTCGGAGGTGGGGCGCGCGCTTCGCGCGCGACCACCGGCCCGGGTGTTTTGCGCTGGGCGACAGCGACGGCGCTTCGACCTTTGAGGGGACGATGGCGTCCGTTGGCGTCGCTCGGACGTGTGCACTTTGTCTCAGCCAGGACCATCGAGGAGCAGTTTGGATCAGGTTGCGAACAAATTGACGCAGGAAACAAAACAAGTCACGGGAAATGGGCGTCCGAACGATGGCGAGATCCGAAACGCCCGTGGTTGGCCCCCTGTGTTGCTCGGGGAGGCCCGGTGTGCCCCGCTGTCCGAAGCGCGCGAACGGATGCTGCCACCACAGGGCCTCTGCTGATCCAAGTCAATCTCGCTGCTTTGCGTGCTCGGGCTGCCGAGGAAAAACTTCCCGTCGGTCGTCGAATCGAGTGTTCTGTGCAAGAATCCCATCTCCCAATGAATTTCTAGCGCCTTCCTACTGCAGGAGTCGAAGTGCTCTTGCAGTGCTGTGCTTTGATCTTCGCGTGGAGGGCCTGAGCCCAGCCAGCTTTGTCCGTCGCCCCACTCCATGTTTTTACTTGCTTCTTCCGACCGGCGTGTGCGACAGCAGAAAGCTTGCTGCCGAGGCCAGAGCTTGGGCGGTGAAGCCGCCTGAGCCCAGGCCCGCGGTGCGAGCACGTACTCCGGAGGCCGGGAGTCCAGAGCAGCTTGATGCCGAGGACGTGGCCGCCAGTTTGCTTTTTCATCCTCTTCTCTCTGGGCGTAGCGGGGAAGTGTTTCGGGGTGTGCAGACGCACTCCGACAGGAAGCACACAAACAACCATTTGTCGTTGCTCGAGACGACTCAAACTGTAATGCGTCGGACTTAGGGCTGAGGGTCCTAGGCCCTAAGTGGTTCGGTCAACCGGGAGAAAAACTCGGTCTTGCCGATTGCACAACGTATGGCGCCACATGGATTGGTATTTTGCGTTTTTAGAGAAGCGCGCTGGCAAAGTCAACTCGCCAGATGTGGTGCGAGATCCCTCCGCAGTGATGAACTAAATTGGCATATTGGCGAAAACAAACAGCCGGGCTTGCTACCTTGGCGTGTCGTCCTGCATTCGTACCTCTGCAAGTTTATCCGTCAGCCGGCCCCTCCGCATTCCTCATGGGATGGTCAACTATTGTCAGTCTTCTTTGGCTAGTTGCAGGGTCACGATACTGTGGTGCGCATGATACCCCTCAAAGGCGCCCCTCAGACGGTTCCAACATCCAGCGCCAGGATTCGACGACCCCCGAAGACCTCCACAAACCGAGTAGAGGTTCCCTGAAGGCGCTCAGCCTCCAAGATGTATGAAGTAGCGACCGCAGAGGGTCCCAAGACGGCCCAGGACAACTGCGAGATGAGTGCCCGAGGAGCCCAAGACGGCCCAAGATGACCCAAGGCGGCCCAAAGAGCGTCCGGAGATGTCCCGACAGGGGTCCAAGGAGGACCCGAGGTGGCCCCGAACAGCTGCAGTCTGTTCCCAGAGGACACCACGACGGGTAGCACCTGATGGCCCAATTGCCTGTGACTGATTAGCATCTAAGCGCGCGACGCGCTCGTGGTTTTAGTGTGTATATGCATATTCAGATTCTCGTTATATATATGGTCCAGGGCTTGGGCCCCCCCCCCTCCCCCCCATGCTGATGCGGTTGGGCCCCCCCCCCTCCCCGCGCGATGGTCCCCCCCGCCCCACCCTGTGGGCGTGGCGTGGTGCTGCGCTGCGGTGCCCCCCTCCACCCCCCCTGTGGATGTGGTGTGGTGCTGTGGTGGTTCAGAGGTGGGCGTGGCGTGGTGCTGCGCTGCGGTGCCCCCCTCCCCCCCCTGTGGATGTGGTGTGGTGCTGTGGTGGTTCAGAGGTGGGCGTGGCGTGGTGCTGCGCTGCGGTGCCCCCCTCCCCCCCCTGGTGGATGTGGTGTGGTGCTGTGGTGGTTCAGAGGTCGTCGTCGTCGTCGTCGTCGTCGTCGTCGTCGTCCTCGTCGTCCTCGCCGTCCTCGTCGTCGTCGTCGTCGTCGTCGTCGTCGTCGTCCTCGTCGTCCTCGCCGTCGTCATCGTCGTCATCCTCGTCGTCGCCGCAGCCGCCGGCGTCGTCGCCGCCGCAGCCGTCGTCGTCGTCGTGGTCGTCGTCGTCGTCGTCGTCTCTGGGACCATACCATCTGGGGGGGGGGCGAGGAATCCTGGGACCATACCATCTGGGGGGGGAAGGGGGGGGGCCGTGGGCCTGGAGCCCGGGATCATACATACACATGTCCTTTTTATTGTTTCTCTCTCTCTCTCTCTCCCTATCTTCCCCTGCTGCTGCTGTGAACTTCTCTTTTTCTGTCTGCACGGCCTCATCACGCTGGTGGGCCTCAGGAGTCTGATGTAGTCGCGAGTTGCATTTTCAGGGCCCCGCGGTCTGTTCCAGAGTCGGCCTCGGTCGAGCGTCTTTTCCGCGCGTCATGCGATAAGAAAGTGCGCCTCCGCACGTGCGTGTGAGCATGTTTGTCTCTGTGTGCGCGTGTACGTGTCGGTTGTAGTCGTGTGTGTGTGTGTGTGTTTGTGTGTGTGTGTGTGTGTGTGTGTGCGTGTGTGCGTGTGTACGTGTGTGCGTGTATGCGTGTGTTAATGAGTGTGTGTGTGTGTGTGTGTGTGAGTGTGTGTGTGTGTGTGTATGTGTGTATGCGTGCGTGTGCGTGTGCGTGTGCTTGTGCTTGTGCTTGTGCGTGTGTGTGTGTGTGTGTGTGTGTGTGTGTGTGTGTGCGTGTGTGCGTGTGTGCGTTTCTATGTGTGTGTGTTGTTTGTCTTTCATTCTCTCTTTCTCTCATTCTTGGTTTGTCCTCCCTCCCTCTGTTCACCCTTCTCTCTCTCTGCCATTCCCCGGCTGGCAGGAGGCTCCAGCGGAGTGCCCGAAAGTTGCCGCTGGTGGCCGAAACTCTCCTCAGACCCGCGCGCGCTTTGGAGCAATGGCCGACCCGTGGCAGTGCATCTGCGAGTGCCCAGGGGAGGGGGGGTGGGACCCAGAGAGAGAGAGAGAGAGAGAGAGAGAGCGAGGAACACTGCGTGGGAGTCGAGGGGGAGAGTGAGGCGAGGGAGGCGAGCAAGCGAGGAAGGCGAGGTTGGAGGAGGAGGAGAAAGAGGAGGAGGAGGAGGAGGAGGAGGAGGAGGAGGAGGAGGAGGAGCAGCACGAGGAGGAGGAGGAGGAGGAGGTGGAGGAGGAGGGGGAGGAGGAGGAGGGGGAGGAGGAGGAGGAGGAGGCGAAGGAGGCGAGCGAGGCGAGGCTGGCCGAGGCGGAGGAGGAGCGGGGGAGGCCGGGAGCGCGAGGAGCCGGAGGGCGGAGCAATGCAGGGCGGAGGGGGGCCTGGCAGGTACGGTCGAAACACCTCAAGAGGGACGCGCGGTAAGGACGCGAGACCCATGGGCGTGGCCTGTGCACCGCTGGCCGATGTGCCCCCCAAGGTGGGATCACAGGCGGATTCCTTCGGGCTTCCGAGGGGTACATCCCCAGCTGGGGTGCTGAGGTGGTGGGGGTCTGGATGGGGACGGAGGTAAGGATCGATGCCAGCCCTACGATGTTAGAGGTCCCCACTTGAGCGACGAGAAGAAAGGGGTCTTACAGTCAAAAACCCTAATAAGGACGCGCGGTAAGGACGCAAGACCCTTGGAAGCCGAAGCTCGGATTTTTGGGGCGGCGGACGACGAAAACCCCAAGGACGCAAGAGCAAGGAGGAGCAAGGAAGAGCAAGGGTACCCTGAGCAAAGTCGCGCGTCCTTCTTAGGGTTTTTGGCTGGATCTTGGCCCAGTGGAAGAATCATGCGAAGTGGCCACAATCTGCGAATTGCCCGCGCCCCCCGATCGCGGTATGGCTTGTGGGTTTTGGGGAGGCTGCAGGGACCTTCTAACTGTAAATATTCCGGGTTTCTTAATAAGCGTGGTGGGGGTCAACCTCGCCTCGTCGTCGCGCCGCGACGGGGGTCAGAGCGCTTTCGGCGCGCGGTGGATGCCCGCGACGGGGGTCGATGTGGCGCTGTCGGCGGGGGTGTCGCCCCCCCGACGCTTATTAAGAAGCTCGGAGTAGCCTGGCACGTCGACCTGGAGTAGGGCACGGCCGGCCCTGGCGTGCGCGTCGCTGGAGGCATACCGACGACAGTGTGCTGTGGTTGGCTTGGCATCGCTCGGACGTGTGCATTTTTTTTGTGGCGAGGATTGTCGAGGAGCAGTTCTGATTATTTGGCGAAACACTCACGCACGACACCGAATAAAAAACCCAGGGAACGGACGTCCGAGCGATGGCCAGTTGGGCATTGCGAGCGTGCGCAGTTTCCTGGCGCAGAGTCTCTCCGCGATGGGCCCCGCTCCCGGGGAGGGCGGCTCGGCCCCATCCCCTCTCGGAGGCGCGACTGTTCAGGGGCCCGTGCTCCGGGAGGGCCGCCGGGCCCCGTGCTCTCTCGGGGCCGCGACTGATTGTGCTGTTGTTTTTGTTGGCGGAGTCAGATGCCAAGACTTTGACTTTTGACGAACGTCGAGGCGATGACCAACGGACTCGTCCTTTGCTTTGCCAGTCCCGCGCGCCCACTATTGAATTGCACAGTAAGAGTACCCGCGCGATTCATGTGCGGGAGGCCTGTGCGGGAGGCATTGTGCGGCTTGTGCGGGGCTCCTGCGCGGTTCGTGCTTGCTTGCCAACGTGGAAGGACGAGGAAGAGGTAAAGGAGGAGGAGGAGGAGGAGGAGGAGGAGGAGGAAGACGAGGAGGAGGAGGAGGGGGAACAGGAGGAGGAGGGGGAGGAGGAGGACGACGACAGCGAGGACAGCGAGGAGGGAGCGGCCGGGAGGCGTGACCACATTCCAGACATAATTTCGAGCACCCCAGAAATGATTTCGAGCACTGGACTGAGCTTCTCCTGAGAGTGAGGTGGCTTCGTCAGAAAGCAGGGGGCATCTGAGAAGGGTCCTGGTCCTCAGACAGGCGTGTGCCGCGCACCTTAGTCTAAGATGCGGGGGCCCCTCTTACACTCGAGGCGCTGGAATCAGGACCACTGCGGTCTCCACATGTTTCAAGTTATGGCAAGGGCGCTCTGAGCCAGCTACCCTCTGGCGGAGGGGCTTCAGTGGCCCCCGGCTGTCAGGCTATGCCCCGAGGGAGGAGACACTGCGGGCTTTAGGTCTCCTCCAGGGCGGCCTTCCCTGGGCCCAAGCCCTTTGGGAGGGAGCCCGCCGAGGGGTCGGTGGAGGACTCCGATCCAGAGTCCAGCTAAGGCGATCTTTTCCAACTTCACCTGCGTTGAGCGCGATCCGCAGCGTGTTTCGCGTTGTATCTCGTTTCAAGGGACTGCAGGAAGATGTCATGAGGAGGATAGTCGTTCCCAGTAAGCATTTGCAAAGTTAATCCTGCCTTTCGGTGGCGCTCCATCCGCGCACTGCGGTAGTACAGGGTGGCGTCGCAGCAGGATGCGTACCAAGCAGTGCCGCAGATTGAACCGCGCAGAACGTGTCACCCACTGGTAGTGCCCTGTTCTAAGGTGGGGCTTCATGATACTACCCTCGCCGACACTTACCATTGATATCAGGCGGAGGCAGACCTTCTGTAGCGATCCGGCATGTCAAAATGCCGTGTGCAGAACAGCGCAGTATTCCATGCTGTGGTGTCCCATGTGGTTTCCAGCCCATCTTGTGGTTTATGCGTTTCCCTGCCCCCCTCTATCCTCATCTATCTTCCTTGTCCTCTTCCTCCTTTTCCTCCGACATTTAGTGTTTTATCCTCGTCCCCCCTATCCTACTGCCTCGCTCTCCTCCTTGTCCTCCTATTTGACCTCCCCCCTCGTGTTGAGAACGATGACGGTTGTGGTGGTGGTGGTGATGAGGAACAGAGGGGCAGGATCGAGCAGGTGAAGTCTGGTGTGGAGGGGGACGGCCACGAGGCAGGGTACCAGAGGAGGCAGGGACGAAGGGAGGATGCAACATGGAGCAGGAGGGGGAGGAGGAGGAGGAGGAGGAGGAGGAGGAGGAGGAGGAGGAGGAGGAGGAGGAGGAGGAGGAGGAGGAGGAGGAGGAGGAAGGGGGGAGGAGGAGGAGCAGGAGGAGGAGAGGAGGAGGAGGAGGAGGAGGAGGAAGAGGAAAAGGCTGAGGAGGAGGAGGAGGAGGAGGAGGAGGAGGAGGAGGAGGAGGATGTGTGTCGAGGGATGGTGGAAGACGACGGGGAGAGGGGCATGGAGAAGAAGGTGATCACGGTGAGACTTTGTCGGCTTCGCGATTTGGGAGGTTCATCCGTTCCCAGAGCGCAAACCTGCAGAACGTGATCCAGTCGCTCGGCAACCAGCACACGGCCTCCCCCCCCCCTCCCCCTTGCCCTATTCCCTCTAGCCCTCCGATTCCCCCACTGCTCCCGTACCACTCCCCTCCTCTTTTCCCCACCTCCCCGCCTGAACACTCCACGTCGCACCCACCTGCTCCTGTCTCCGTCCGTCTCTCCCCCCTCCCACCCCTCTCTTGCCCGTGTCCGCGCCAGGGTTGGGGCCTTCCCCAGCCCTGTCTTGGATGACCGCTCGGCCTGGGGAGGCTGGGAGCTGTGACCTTCCTGCCGTGGGGCGGTGGCGCAGGATGAGGAGGAGGAGGAGGAGGAGGAGGAGGAGGAGGAGGAGGAGGAGGAGGAGAAGGAGGAGGGGGAGGGGGAGGGGGAGGGGGACAAGCTGGGTGCGCTCGCGTCATATCTGACGTCCTACCCCTCCCTCCCATCCCTTACCATGGCGCTGATTTTCTCTATCCGCGGACGCGTGTCGTAGCGGACCTGTGGCTCCGCGCGCGCGTGCGTAGTGGGTGGTGGTGCACGTGCGTGCGTGCGTGCGTGTGTGCGTGGTTGTCGTGGTGGTGGTGGGTGGTGGTGGTGGTGGTGGTGGTGGTGGTGGTGGTGGTGCTGGTGCTGGTGGTGGTGGTGGTGGTGGGTGGTGGTGGTGCTGGCGCGGTGGTGGCGGGCGGATGGGCGCGCGAGAAAGAGGCCCGCGCTGGGGCGAGAACGCCATCCTGAACGACGGATGCCAAACACCGATCCGAAAATGAGGCCCACGCTGCAGCGGGAGCACGATTCGGAACGATTCGGGAGCAGAAATGATGCCGGCGCCTCAGCGAGAGCAGCATTTTGGAACAAGCGCAGGCGAAAACCCGTTTCCGTGGAATCCTGTGTGTAAAAAACAATACGCGGGGGGTCGGATATCTTCGGGACGCCATCACGGGAAGTGGGGGAGTATTTTCATATTGTATAATTGTGGAGGAGGAGGAGGCGGAGGAGGAGCAGGAGGAGCAGGAGGAGGAGGAGGAGGAGGAGAGGAGGAGGAGAGGAGGAGGAGGAGGAGGGGGAGGGTGAGGAGAGGAGGAGGAGGAGGAGGAGGAGGAGGAGGAGGAGGAGGAGGCGGAGGAGGAGGAGGAGGAGGAGGAGGAGGAAGGAGGAGGAGGAGGAGGAGGAGGAGGAGGAGGAGGAGGAGGAGGAGGAGGAGGAGGAGGAGGAGAGGAGGAGGAGGAGGGGGGGAGGAGGGGGAGCGGGGAGGAGGAGGAGGAGGAGGAGGAGGAGGAGGAGGAGGAGGAGGAGGAGGAGGAGGGAGAATAAGACTAAGAATACGTATAAACAGAAGACGACGTATACTACTACTACTACTACTAATAATACTACGACTAAGAATACAAAGGGTACTCAGACTATGGATACACATACGCATAATACGAATGATACTAATAATACTAATCATACGAATAAGAATAATACTACTAATAATGAGAATACGAAGGCGAGTACGAATAATAATAATAATAATAATAAAAAAAATAACGAGAATAATAAGACGACGAATACGAGTGATAGTACTACCAAAAAGACTACGAATACTAATAAGAAGGGTAATCACACGAATCATAATAAGAAGACGAATAATAAGACTAATCATGATACTAAGGCTCATACCACTAATACTACGACTACGAAGAAGAGTAATAATACGCACAATAAGCATAACACTGTGAATAATAAACATAAGGATAATAAACTTAAGAATAATACTAATAAGAGGAGTAATAATGATACTAATAATAAGAAGAATAAGAATACTAATAAGCAGACCACTAATAGGTTTAATACCACTAGTAATACTAACAATAATAATAATAATAATAAGAAGACGGCTGAGCATAATACGAATACTACTCAGACGAATAATAATAAGAAGAAGAAGACGAACACTAGTCCCAATACTAATAATAATAATAAGACGAAGAAGAACAATCAGACGACACATCATAATAATAAGGCTAATACTACGAATACGATGAATCATACGAATAATAATAATAATAATAAGAAGAATAATAATACGAATGATAAGGCGAATAAGAATAATATCAAGAAGAAGAAGAAGACGAATCAGAAGAAGAAACAAGAGGAGGAGGGGGAGGAGGAGGAGGAGGAGGAGGAGCTCCTCGAGGGGAAGGGCGCTCGGCCGCGCCGGGCCCGCGTGGCCGCGTGTCGCGTCCCCCACATCGCCCCGATCACGCACTATGCCAAGTCGCTGTCCGACGTCGATGACCCTCCCCCCCTTTCTTCCGCTCCTTCTCTTGTCGCCCCGCGGATCCCCTCGCCCAAGTCAGGGGCCTCTCTCAGACTCCTAGCCCTCGGTGCTCCGACTGGCGCCCTCCTTCCCGACTCCCTGCCCCCCCCCCCCCTTTTTCCCTTGCCCTCCCCCTTCTGCTCCCTCTCCTCTTGCCCCCTTCCGCCCCTCTTTTGGGAGCGTCTGTGTGGTGAACTGTTGGGCTAAAGTATGGCCAAGCCAGTGACACATGTGTTCCACCAGCTGTTCTGAACACCTTCGGGGAAACACTGGGAGGACGAGAGAAGGAGGAGGAGGCGGATGAGGAGCAGGAGGAGGAGGAGAAGGAGGAGGAGAAGGAAGGAAGGGCAGCATGAAGGTAGACGTCGGCAGCGTGGGACCCACTCAACCTGAATTCGCGTTGGGTTTTGAGCTGGCCGATGCCGACGGGGCCAATGGCGGTTCGCAGCTGCAGCCGACGCGTGCCCAGCAGTTCAGCAGCCGTTATCACTGTGTGCTTCTTCGGTAAAGCAAAGTTCCCTACTTGGCCCACGGTGTGCCCACGTCCTTCGGGCTCAGCCCATGCACGCGGAAGCCAGGAGGGCCCACACAAAGGTGGCGGACACCGAGATTGCCATCGATACGTCGCGGTTGTTCGGTCTCACCTGGTGCGCACGATTTGAGATGTTTCACCCCCTTGTTGTCCATCAGCGACCTGGACCTGACCTACCGTGATCAGCAATCCCCTTCCCCTCCCTCCCGTACCCCCCCCCCGCCCCCTTCCCCATTTCCCTTCATGCCCCTGCCGAAGGCCCCGAGGATGAGACGGGGTGCGGAGGAGGACCGAGGAACAAAGAAGAGGAGCAGGAACGGGAGCAGAATGTGGAGTAGGAGCCCCCGTCCTGCTGATCAGCGGCGTGGAATATTCCTTGAGGAGGAGGAGGACGTGGATGAGGGGAATAAGAGGAGCAGGATGAGGATGCCCCCTGATGATCAACGACCTGGACACGAAGGACACGCTGAGGAGAATATTGAGGAGGTGTATGAGGGCAGGAGGAGGAGAGAGAGCAGGAGGAGGAGGAGGAGGAGGAGGAGGACGAGGACCAACACGAGGACGAGGACAGTAGGAGAAATAGGAGGATGAGGAGGAGGAATGGGGAGGAGAAAGAGGATAATGGTAATGAGGAGGAGGAGGAGAAGGAGGACCAGTGTAAATCCAAGACTCCATCAACGACATTGCATCAGCACGGACATTGCATTGTAAAATCAAGACGGAAGTGTGTCAGAACACAATTCTTGGGACATCAACGCCGCGAATCATTTGTACTGTTGCCTTTTGACGAACTTGAATCGTGCCAGAACACGGAACACCATTCCTGGAACTTCAACACCGCGGGTCAACGTGTTTGTTGCAACCTGATTTTCCGACTCCGTGCCAAAACGTAGTTTCTGGGACGTTAACCATGAACATTCTTGAAATTCTTGCAAACACTTCAAACGAATGTGCGCGGCGTTGAAGCGAGAGCCACATGTTGGAACGGAATCGTCCCCCACACGTGTAAATCTTGCAAACTGTTGCGACGAATATGCGCGACGCTCCAGCAAGAGCCACTGTTTGAAATGGAACCGCCCTCCATCTGTGAAACTCTTGCGCACTTCTCAGCCGAATGTGCGGGGCTCCAAGGCGAGAGCCACATGTTGAAAACGGACCGGCCCTCATCCGTGAAGCTCTTGCAGGTTTTATGCGAATGCGCGCGGCGCTGAGGTGATAGCCACATCTTGAAGTCGGGCCGCCCCCCATCCGTGAACCTCTTCAAATGCTGAGCTTCAACGTCGTACATGGTGAGGAGCTCTTAGACCGAACTCTCGGTCCGTCCTTTAGACTAGCCCCGGGGTGCGACATGGAGGATTTTCTTTTTGCAGGAGAAGGGATGAAGGAGGAGGAGGAGGAGGAGGAACAGGAACAGGAACAGGAACAGGGAACAGGAACAGGAACAGGAACAGGAACGGGAACAACAACAGGGACAGAAACAGGAACAGGAACAGCAGGAGGAGGAGGAGCAGGAGCAGGAGCAGGAGCAGGAGAAGGGCAAGACGAGCAGGAGGATGTGGGGCAGAAGGGGGGAGGAGGAGGAGGAGGAGGAGGAGGAGGAGGAGGAGGAGGAGGAGGAGGAGGAGGAGGAGGAGGAGGGCCCTCGTCCTGGTGCAGCTGGATTCCCTCGGGCCCAGTGTGCCAGCGAGGGGCCGCCCAGGTGCGGGTTTCGTGGCCAGGTCCGTTCTGCCACGCGCCGCGCCCGTGCCGCGCCGTGCTGGTTGCCGCGCGCGCGCCGCGTTCGGCTCCCGTGTGCTGCACGCTTGGCGCGCGCGCGTCAGGCACCCTGGTTGCCGCACTCCTGTTTCGGGCCTCGAGGCTCGGGGGGAAGGGTGCAGCTGCGCCGTCGCACGGCTGCTTCGTGGCACGGCCACGGCGTCTCGCGTGGCAGTGCCCTCTGGTGCACGTAGGCATGGGCTGATGCCAGTAACAAGCAGGAGGAGGAGGAGGAGGAGGAGGAGGAGGAGGAGGAGGAGGGGGAGGAGGAGGAGGAGGAGCCTCCCGCAGATCAGCGACCTGGACACGAGCGACTCCCTGACGCTCCCCACTGGCATTCGGGGGACGCTAACTGCACACCCGAGTCGCTCCTTGCCAGGCCCATCCCGGGCCAGGTGTCGGTGCACACGCCTTGCGGCCTTGGCCAGACAGGCGTATACGCCGATCTTTGGCCCACGATTGGCCTGGCCAGAATCGGTGTACAGTGGAGACCCATGCCAAGAAACACCATTGCTTGCATCCAGGGTGCCCTGGGTTTCTTGGGTTTCGATGGTTTTGCCATGGAGCGCGTGACGTTCCCACTCGAAACATCAATGGACGTCCTGGGTTCTCAGGGTTGGGTTTTTCGTGGAAGGTTTCTTGTGGACTGGCCTCCACTGTATTCAGGCGATCGCAAACATGGATCAAGGTGGCGTGGATTAGCGACGGGTCCCGTTTCCACGGGAAATCGTGGATCACCGCCGCCGAACGAGGCGGCACCGGCCGCCTTTTGGGGAGGGCACCTCCCCTGATCCATGGATTTGGCGACCGCGCGCCAAATCCATGGATCGCTAATCAAGATTGCATAACATGCGCCCCCCCCGTGCCATCCCGGCAGACGGCCCGTTCCGACCCCCCCTCCGCGAGCCCCCGCAAAAGGCACCAACAACGACCCCCCCCCCCGCGCACCCCCCCACGCGGGACGTCGCAGCGGTGTCAGAATTGGCACACCCCCACGCCCCTCGCAGGACACGCCATTTCCACCCCCCCACGCGATCCCCCCCCCCCACGCTTATTAAGCAATCCGGAGTAATCCATGTCTGCGCGCCCCCCGATGTGTGTGCAACGGGTCGGACGAGAGGGGGCGACTCTAGAACGGGGGGACTGCGAGTTCTGCCTCGCGCGGCCGGTTCCGGCTCCCCGCGGGGCGCTTTTTTCTCGAGGACGTCATCGTTGGGGGCGGCCAGGAGGGGGGGATGACTAAAGGGGGGGGGTGGATATCATGGCGTGGGGCCCCCCTTGGGCGGCGCACATGCCGCTGGCCATGATTTGCGCCCCCCCCCTCTTGGACGCCCCCCTTTTGGCCGCCCCCGCAACCGCCCTGCTGGCGCCGGGAGGCGACGGGGAAGCTGGCTGCATGCAGCCGATTCGCCAGCCCCCGTCTTGCCATCCCCGTCCTTCGGAGGAGGAAGAGGTCTCCATACATACTGCTGCCCTGCCCCCGCCTTCCCCCTTTTGGGCCTCCTTGGAGGCCCTCGTCGCCACCGCTGGATTCGCCTCGACATTCTTGTCAGACCGCATTCCGGGAGAGGTCCGGGGAGTAGCGTTAGGTCGGGCCTGTCCCCCTACAGGGGGATTGTGGGCGAAAAATGAAGGATCCGCGGAAACTGCTCGAAATGGTCAAAAAGCATTCCAAAAGTCGTCCCCAGACTATCTTTTGTCTGTCTTTGAAAATTCCCCCTGTAGAGGGACACGCCCGACTTAAGAGTAGCGGTATCGGTACCTTGTGGTTTCCCCACGCAGGGGCAATGTCAGGGGGGGTGATCTTTGGACGCCCGAAATGGGTACGGAAAGAATGGGTACCATGCCCAACAGCACGTGTTGTCCCAAACCAACGGCGGCCGCTGTTGGGCAGGCGGCCTCCTGTCTCAGATGGACACGGGCCGCGGCGGCGCGGACAGAGCGAGTCCTGTGCAAAGCGAACAGGAACTGCTGTTGGGCACTGTACACCTTAGGCGATGCTTAAGAAAACTTAAGTTTTCGGCCAGAGTCTCGATTATTCCTAATGTTTCCATGTGAATCCTGAGATTTGAATAGACATTCTGGGTTTTTATTCAAATTCTGAGACTATGAATTTCTTAACCCATGATTTCTTGAGCATTTCGCAGGGTGTACCCACTCTTCCCGTGCCCACTTCGTTCGTGCCGATGGTCGGCGCCGGGTGGGATGCCTCGACCACCAAGCGCCCCGTGAGAGCTCCGATGGGGGGCCCCACAGCCCGCCCCCCCGCCCATCCGGGGGGCCTGTCGCGCCGAGGCATCGGCGACGTCGGGGGGCCACGTGCGGCCCCCCCCCCCACGAGTCCTGAGGGGGGGGGCGTGTTTTCCACCACCACCACCATGAGTTGGAGAGGGGGGGTCCTCCTCCTCCTCCTCCTCCTCCTCCTCCTCCTCCTCCTCCTCCTCCTCCTCCTCGTCCTCCCCCTCCTCCTCCTCCCTCCAACTTATGGTGGTGGTGGTGGAAAACATGCTCACCATGAGGGGGGGGGGGCGGGGGTTCACTTCGTTCGGGAGCTCCCGAGCAAAGTGGACCCCACCCCTCCCCTCAGAAATCGGGGGGGGGTAGGGGCAGGGTTCGCATGTGTCCCCCTGGACGTCCCGCCGATTCCAGGTCGATTCCCCCTCCCACCTGAGCCAATCCCTCCTGTATCGTTGCCCCTCACTCGACGTCCCGCCGATTCCAGGTCGATTCCCCCTCTCCCACCTGAGCCAATCCCTCCTGTGTCGTTGCCCCTCACTCGTCAGGCCCGATAGCCGTGGTCTCCCCAGGCTTGTCTCCGCTGCACCTGTTCATGTTCCTGCTGATGGCGGTCTGGGGCTTCCTCTACGTCAGCGGCCGCCAGCGCCAGGATCTCGCGGGTGTTCGTGCTTTCGCGCCTCTGCTCGGCCCTGGCGTCGTCGGGGTCGTCGTGATCGTCTGGGTCGTGGTTCGGGTCGTGGTCGTGGTCGTTGTCGTGGTCGTGGTTTTGGTCATGGTCATGGTCGTGGTCAGGGTGTCGGTCGTGCTCGTGGTCGTTGTCGTGGTCGTGCTTGTAGTCGTGGTTGTGGTCGTCGTCGTTGTCGTCGTCGCCGGTGGGAATCGCCTGGGGAAGGAGGCGGAGGAGATCCAGTGTAAACCCGAGACTCATCAAAGATGTTGAAATACCCCCTTTCAAGTTCCCTCTTCATAGGTTTCTACACATTGCACGGGTTTGTTTTCACTGATGGACATGCTTCGTTGGACAACAACTGTTTAAGAATCCTGGACCGTGCCGAAACATCACCCTTGGGACTTCAACGCATCGTTACTGCGTCCTGATGGTCCTGAATCGTGCCAGAAGACCATTTCTGGGACTGCCACGCCGCGAACCAACGCGACTGTTGCGCCATGAGACGGCGGATGATGGCTTGAGTTTGGGCCGAAGGTCAGAGAGCGCGAGGTGGTTCACGCCTTGCCGAGGTGGTTCACGCCTTGAGTTTGGACCACCACAAAAAAGACGTCGAGGTGGTTCACGCCTTGCCGATTAAGCCGACGAATGTGTGCAACGTCCAACAGTTCGCTTATGTCCAGAGTTTTGGCTTGACGCCCATTGCGGTGCATCATTCTCAACATGACCGAACAGGTTGATTGCGCCCCTTGACGTCCGTTTGGGGTGTTTGCAGACCTGACCCCTCAGCCTTATTCAAATGATAGCGGATGGCCCTAAGAGACGGCGGATAATGGCGACGAGAGGGGGATCCCGAACCACACAATTAGCCGAGCCTGGAGCGCGAAGAGAGTCCGAACCCAACGATCCTGGCATTCTGTGTCTGGCTGGCAAGATTTGAGGGCAACGTCTTGCGGAGTGCTTGGCTGGCAACATCTGGGGAACACAGTCGATGTCGCTCAGACGACCATTTGGTGCTCGGGCTGGCTGTACAGTGGGGGGTCCATGCCAAGAAACACCCTGCTTGCCTCCAGGGTGCCCTGGGGTTCTTGGGTTTCGATGGTTTTGCGATGCAACGCGTGTCGTCCCCACACCAAAAATCGATGGACGTCTTGCGGTCTCGGGGTTGGGTTTCTTGTGGAAGGTTTCTCGTGACGCATGGATCGAATGCGTAGTGTCCTGGGGATACCACGTGTTCTGCGCGGGTAATCCTTCCTCGGACGCTTTGAATTACGCTGACTGCACGGGATCTACTTCCCCTCTCACCTCAACGGTGGAAGCATCGGCGATTGCTCTGGCCTGTACGCGTTCGGTTCCTATCCAGCTGCCTGCGGCAAACCATAACACACCTCGCCACCGTTCTAATGCAGTAGCGCAGCAGGAAGGAGACCGAGTGTAGTAACAGCACAATTCCGACGACAAATCAGGACTGGGACGGGCCGTGAACTCTGCCTCATTTTCGCCCGCGCCTCCTCCTCCTCCTCCTCCTCCTCCTCCTTCCCCTCCCCATCCTCGTCCTCCCTCCTCCTCCTCCTCCTCCTCCTCCTCCTCCTCCTCGTCCTCCTCCTCCTCCTCCTCCTCCTCCTCCTCCTTCCTCCTCCCCCTCCTCCTCCTCCTCCTCCTCCTCCCCTCCTCCTCCCTCCTCCGTAGCCATTTTGGCTCAAGATGCCTATTTCCCCAGGGGAAAAAGTGGATACCGCTAGTCCGCGGCCAGTGCCAGGGCTCTTGAGCCCGACAGCTCTCAACCCTCCGTGTGCCTCCTGCAGCCCGCAGGTGAGCTTCCTCCGTTCCTCAGCCCGTCCATGGCGCCCCCGCAACAGCGCAGTGCCTACGTCAAGTGCTATGCCTGCTCATACTCCTGGAACTACAAGACCAACCAGACGTGCTACTGGTGCAGCAAAGCATTGGCGCCGTGGACAGACTCCCCGCCTCCAGTTCAAGGTGCCTGGGCGGCCCGAGCCAAGGCCGCAGCCCAGGAGGACTCCAGCCGCTCCCAGCAGCCCAGCCCTGACGGAGGATGGGAACCGTGGGCGTCATGGCCCAAGTCCCGCCGCCGCCGCGGCAACGGCAATGGCAAGAACCAAGAGGACGACTGGTGGGCCAAGAACGACACCCCCAAGGCGCGCTCCGCAGAGGACATCCTCGCGGAGCTACAGGCGATCGCCCCACACATCGACAAGGCAGCCATCGACGGTATCAAGTCGCAGATTCCGCCGCCCCAGCCGCAGAAGCCAGCCGACCTCAACGACATCTACAGCCGCGCCCAGGCCACGGAGCGCCGCTGCAAGAACAACCTCGACAGGCTGCTCGAGAGCGAGCAGAAGGCGCTCAGCTGGTACACCGAGCGCAAGGCTGCGTCGGAGGAGGCAGCCTACAAGTTGGCCGAAGCCCAGGCCGAGGCCCAGGCCGCCCTCGATGCACTCCAAGTCGCGCGCAAGGGCGGCACGGCTACTCCCACGACCTCGCAGCAGAACCCGACGTTCAACCTCACCAGCCCCCTCGAGGACGGGGACATATCCATCGAAGCGGGTTCGGCGTTCGATCTCCAAGGTCTCGACATCGACGACAGCGACCGCCAAGCATGGGAATCCCTCCAGCAGCGCTTCGCCACCGAGCTCAAGGCCAAGGTCACCGAGCTCTTCGGCAACACCGCCAGCCGCATCAGCCAGCTCCGCGCAGAGGCCAGCACCATGCGCACGCGCTTCGCCTCCAAGCGACAGCGGTCCGATGAGGACGGTCATGCCCGAGAGGGAGGTGGACCAAAGCCCGCCGCATCGGCGGCAGCAGGCGAGCCCCCAGCGCCAGCCGCAGCAGACGCTGATGGCTCTGCGGCCTCTTCGCCAGCGGCGCCAAGCGAGGCCGCACCTGCTGCTGGCGCTAATCCTGACGGCAGCTTGGCCGAGCAGCCTGTTCCAGCGATCAACAAGGACCCCGACCTCGAAGACAAGGCACAGAAGATGCTCAGCCAGCTGCGCAAGCCTACTGCGACCGCCGTGGCTGGTGCCCAGCAGTCTCTTTAGCCGACTACTACCCCATCCTGGACGGATTGGTGAGATGGGACGCCTACCGTCACAGACCAAGATCTACGACAACCCACAGATCATCAACACAATGGACGCAGTCCTCGACCCGTTCGACGAGCTGGCCGAGTTGGACGGCCACATCGATTTCGCAGCCACAACGCAGTACGACACCGCCCCGCCCGAGACGCTGTCCTCGGTAGGGGGCGATGAGGCGGCGCAGGCCGTCGACACAGTGACATGGGACCCAGGGCAGCCGCAGCGCGCCGCGCTTGCCGACCCTGATGCCGCTCCGCCCGAGACGCTGTCCTCGGTAGGGGGCGATGAGGCGGCACAGGCCGTCGACACAGTGACATGGGACCCAGGGCAGCCGCAGCGAGCCGCGCGAGCCGTCCCTGATGCCGCCCCGCCCAAGACGCAGTCCTTGGTAGGGGGCGATGAGGTGGCGAAGGCCATCGACTCGACCGCAGAGGAAGGCACATGGAAGCCTAGCAGGCCGACACCCGACCCCACACCCGCCCACCAACACGGAGGCCTTATGAATCCCACGCCGTCAGACCACTCCCTGTTCTTTTCCAACATTACACAGTGGGGGCCGCAGTCGGAGAAATGGCTGGCAGGGCCAGGCAAACAGTATCAGATGGTGGCATTCGTTGAAACTCACATCTCGCATGGTAAAGCCCCCCTCATTTACGACAAGCTAGCAGCGGATGGTTGGAGGATATCATCCACTACAGCCACGCCGACCAGCAGATCCGAAGGAGGCAACACGGGTGGCGAGATGATCCTATCCAGGTACCACGTCCAGGCCACGACCTTCAACCACCTCCGCGACCTGGCCATCTCCCAGCGCAAGCCCGACCCGTTCCGAGGCTTCACGCCTATGGTTTGGCATAGGCGCTCTGGCAATCTAGTTGTTATTGCAGCGTACCTCGAACCCCGCAGACAGATCGAGGGAGCTGTTCACGAGAAATTACTATCTCTGGGAGCTTTCGTTACTATGCTCACTGACCCGTGGATCATCCTCGCCGATTGGAATATGACACCTGAGCAGCTTGCAGCAACAGAGTGGCCCGCCAAATGGAATGCTACCATCGTGCGAGCGCCTGGAACCGCCACGTGCGACAAGGGACAGGGTCTCACGCTCGACTTCGCATTGGTCAAGACTGGCATCGAGCACACGTTCTCCATTCGCCAATGCCCCACCGTCCCCTGGGCCACCCACGTGGGCCTTGAAGTTCGTGCAGGCAGCGCAGACCCCTGGTGGTATCAGTCGATCAATACCCCTAGGGCATTCCCCACAGTGGACAGACCCAGGACCCCACCAGACCCTGACAGCAAGACCGCCATCAAGAAACGTAAAACAGCAGAAGCTCGAGCAGAACGCCTACGCGATCTACCTCCTGAACTCCAACAAGCAGCTGCACAACTCCAGCCACGCGACGAGCCAGCAGCACAGGAGCCCATCCCGTACGCTATCCCGAGCGACCTCTGGGAGGTACATTGGCATCAAGCTGTACCCACACGTTGTAAGCAGACCCACGCGCATTTCGTGTACACCCACTGGCCACGCGAGGCCGACGACCTCAACCGCCAGTACGCCAAATGGGTCACGGCGCTCGAGAACACCATGATCAGCCATCACCAGATCGACCCCAAGGAAGCCGCAGCCTTCGCAGGCCGAGCCCAAGGCTACCAGTTGTCTTGGAAGAAGACGGCCGCCGCCCCAGGCCGTGTACACGTTCATGATCCACAGTCGGAATGGTGGGCAATCACGCTCACCCTCATCAGGCGCTACGCAGCGCTCCACGACAAGCCCAAGCACGCAGCGCTCATGCAGCAGCAGGCCTCCATCATCCAGCAGCGCGCGGACCATTTCAACACTCACTTCCATGACCTCCAGTTCGAGAAGGACGAGGACACCATCTT